TAACGAAGTAAACATTTTCCATTTTCTAAGATTTTCAAAATTTCTAAGAAATTTTCATTTTCATGCATTATGGTGTTAAGATATCAGTTATGCTCAAATTATATCAAACAGCAAACAGAAGTGATAAATAGCCACCAGACATGGCGTAGATAGGAAAATTCGTAGGAGGGCGAGAAACTTCGATTTTTTGACAAAAATCTAACAAGCATTTATTTTTTTCATAAATTTTAACATAACATAACGACTTCGGAACTGGAATAGATAAATATTTTGATATATTCAGATATTCTTATGTTTATTTAGCTTAAAATTCTTTCCTATAAAAACATAGCAATAAGAAAAACATAGACAACTGTGTTAAATTTCCAACAAGACCAGAGGTTTTCCGATAATATAGCAGTTTAGCTCTACAGGGGTTTTGCCCCCTCTGACCCCCCTCTATCTACACCACTGCCACCAAAGCAGTTTAGCCACCATTGCAATTTAAGCAATCATCAATTTCAAAACTTCCAGGGGGAGCATTCCCCGTACCCCTTAGAAGCGTCTGCCTTAGGCATGTTTTACTATTTATCTTTTGTCCTGACCTGGGGCACATAAATCCTCTCCGCGGCCCTGCCAACAGGGCAATCGTGTTCTTGGATTTTACAAAATTTCGTTGTTTTCAGTTTTATTACGATTTAATAGTTTTTCAATTTTTTTGCTTCGAGTACTGAAGTTTCTTAATTTTTTCTGACTGTCCAGTACTCGTTTCTTATAGCCAGTTTCTTATAAATAAAATGAGTATATACAAATACAAAGCTTTCTGAAGTAAGCCTTATTATATCGACGATTTATAAAATGGATTAATCGACAAATTTCGAAATAAAATTAGGCCTGTTTTCATCTCCTCCACCGTGATTTTCTAAAGTACTAAGGCTCTAAGTAGCTACAAAACCCAAAGTGGGTACGCCCTGGTCTTTCATACGAAGAGTCAGGACAGGTCGCTGAAGTAGGTCGCTTAAGTTTAATCAAATGTAGTTTTATCAATAATAGGCAAAGACCTCCTTATAATATCCAACCCAAGGCGCTGTAGACTGTGTTCCAGACACGGAAGACATGATTTGAAATTGCACAGGACCTTGCCAGAAGAAGGAAGGCAAAATATTGCTTGTTTCAGATTCTGGTTACACGTCCTTGTGCGTTGTGATGGGAACACTTTTGTTTTATCTGAAAACTTCTAGAAATCCTTTTGTATTGCTGGAAATCTCCTACGCTACAGAAAAAACCCGCATAAAAGAGCCTGTTTTTATAAGAACCTTGAGGCTGAAACTTAATCTTTTAAACCCCATAATTAAGAACCCCCAAGAGGCTGAAATTTGGAAAGGTTCTTATATATTTTTATCAGAAAAAGGGGTTTTTAGAATGGTATTTTTACACCCTATTCATACTGGTAAATCAAACCCGCTTAGAGTAAATCAGGTTACTGTATGTTGCATTCTAATTGGACAATCTAACAACCCAAATTAATTTGATTGGTTGAAATTTATCACGATAAACAAAGCTGGTTTATGTGTGTCCGTTGGAATTCTTGCGGTGGAAAACATTGTTAATGTGTGCAAGGCCTGTCGTATATAAGAACCTTGTTAAGAACTTTTTAGACTGGAACTTAGAATAGCAGCCAGTTAATTAAGAATCTATTCAGGCTGCCAGAAATAACCTAGGTTCTTTTATGCGGATTTCCACTGTATTTACTTTAGTGAATAGTCCGTCCGTTCAATTTGACAAAGAGCACGGTCCTAAATACCACCGAAAAGTCACCCCATGCCTCCAAACCTCCTTAAAAACCAACAAACCTGCTCCACCTCCCTTTGACTGACTCGCACCAATTAAAAAACGAAGATTCTGTGGAGATAACCCACTCCAAAGCCTTGTCTATAACAGTTGGACCTGCTTCGTGTCTAGTTGTTTAGTTACATTGTAAGTCTACTGTTGCAATTCACGTGAGGCAGTCCACTTGGGTGAAAACCTCGATTGAAAACGGTTGGATTACAGAAGGAATCCCCTATTCCCAGACTACGCAAGTAATTTTGAAGTCTGTCCGTAAACGATTAGTTAGATACTGTGTTTTCTGTATACGCGTACCTGCTATACATATAGGATGGAAAGAGGTGCCTATATCAGAACGGATTGCGTGATCTTCGTATATATTAGGGCGTGAGCGATTACTGCCGCCATGTTATGTTTAAATGAAGATATTCTTTCTGGCCTTATGAGATTTTCCGAATCAAAGGAGCGTTTACGGATGCCTTCAGTAAAAAGAATAGCAACGAACCTATTGAAGACGATTGTCGACGAAAGACTAAACAGGCCTATAGACACAATTTCTGAAGGTAAATACTTTCGAGTTAAGCGAGAAATATTATCACCTGCTTGTGAATCGTCTTCACTATGTTGATTTTTTGTGCGCCAATGAAAATCAAATAAAAGGAACCCAAATATTTTTATTTGATTTTCTTTTTTTGCTTTTCGCTTCGTTTTTGCTAGCTATCATAGTATTACAGATCATGAGTGACTGATCTGAGCAATTTTAGGTTAGAAGTTGTTCTCAACATCATCGGTAACATTTTAAATGATCTTTAGGCCAGTCTCTGAAATGTTGTAGCGATAGCTACCTTTGGCGGTAAACGAAATATGAAAATATGTTGAAATAGAAAATAACGACGTGTGAGTTAATTTTGGATGTTGTTTAACCAAGTCTCCCTTCACAATCCAAGTTATGGCTTTGGATTGCCAATTTTTTCCTTGGCCAAAGGAATGGTAAACCCTTTCTTTATGACGCATTTCTAAACGAACAAGCTTACAGGAAACACGGGACGTGGCCAATAGAAAAACATCATTTTTGAGATATTTACTCAATGACATTCATCTTATTCATCCCTTGTTTATATGTCTTAGACGGCCATTTATGAATGGACATTACGCGGCTATTGTGTCTGGGGCTCGGTTAATAGTTATTACAATGGAATCCCGATATAACGAACCCCTGATATAAAGAACTTCCCTGTATAACGAACTAAATGCCTGTTCCCTTGGATTCTGGCTAACAAACTTCTTATAGATTCTCCCGGTATAACGAACCCCGATTATAACCAACTATCGATATACGAAGCAAATTTTGGGTCACTTCATCATAAATACGCTCGATATAACAAACTTTTCGTAATTTTTTCGTCTGTTATTTTTATTCATTTTTGATGTTCATTTATCACTTTCTCTATGGGGAAATAATTATTGTCTTCGGCAAAACATGCTGATGATACATTTCAAGCCCTGGCTGATAGGCCCAGAGCATGGGATGAAAGTTTGATCGCGTCAAAAATCAATGCGAATAAGTTAGTGGGACTAACGAATACCTTCGTACGTATGAGACATTGGCAATGAACGACGACAAACTTTTATTGAGAGACCCAAATGGAATGGGAAACTAGGAGTAAAGTGATACCAGCTTTGCCAATCTCTTGGTCCCAAATGATAAGAGGAACATGAAGATTTTCATTTTAAATGACTAACCATTAGTAACATCTGAATTCAGCTTGGTTTTTGGAGTTAAATGTGCACAGAAGTTTGGGATAGCCTATACAAGTCCACCGAAGGCCTAAACCACGAAATGAATTGCAAAAAGACCTTAAAAACGTTTTCTCCCGGTTTAGCAAACTCCCGACATAACGAACTATTTTCTGGTTCCCTTCAGAGTTCGTTATATCGGGATTCCACTGTAGAAAGTTTGCCTTATAACCGTCTTTCTTCCTTCCATGAAATTCTTAAGCAACAAAATATAAGCAACAATTTTATCTTTAATTTAACTGTTGTTACACTTTGACAGGCTATAAATATTTTGCGAAAATGCCTTGCATATGTTTTCTGAAAACTAGGATTTGCTTATGAGCTGCTCCACTTATTAAGGATGCACGAAGTTCTTAAAATTGTTTTGATTTATTTAAATTCACTTTTCACGTTTTCTGAATTCGAGTTTTCAACCTTGCAAGTAGACATCTTCTCGCTTTCCGAGGAGCGAAATCTCGGAACCCCCTTCGCGCTGAATGGCCTTGACCTTTGTTTATATTGCTGGTTCCACTTTTCGATTTCTTTTCTTTTCTCGCATTTCAATATTCGTCATATGATTCGCCCAAATTATTTTTTTAAAATGTGAAAATTGATCTTGGATAAGTCCGCTTTAGGTTGTGACCTAGGCAGGAACAAAAGGATAGGCTTAGACATACAAGTGAGGATGTCCCTCAAACAATGGATGGGACATAAACAACGACACGTTTGTAGCATTTGCAACTTAAGAACCAACGGCTCTCTCTCACTCTTAGTCAATGGTACCCAGGCCTTTAGCTTACCATATATGGAAACATGTCCCTCGTACTGAAAACACGATTCAAGCCAAATCGTGTTAGTACTTCTATTCACTTGTATGAGTTTTTGCACTAAGTCTCGAAGTGACGAAGTCCATATCAGAATTATTTCCTTAAAACTTCATTGTCCTGAAACAATATTTTGGATGAGTAAGCCAACCCCTTTCTTCTCATAAATTTTGCCTAGTTGTTGGATTTGACAGAAGGCTACTTCGTAGCGAATAACGTACGAGATTTCCACGAAAACAAAAGGATTTCCAGATGTTTTCAAATAAAACAAAAGGATTTCCACCGGAGGTGTAGCAGATTTCCATTGCGCGATTTGCCACACGATTTGTAGAACTTGATTTGGCCTTGATAGGATCTGTATAAATTTACTTTTCACCTTTTCTGAATTCTAGTTTTCAACCTTGCAAGTGGATATCTTTCCAAGGAGCGAAATCTTGTAAGCCCTTTTGTAGTAAATGACCTTCACCTTCGTTTATATTGTTGGTTCCATTTTTCGATTTCTTTTCTTTTTTCTCATTTAAATATTCGTCATATGATTTGCTCGGATTGTATTTTTGAAATGAGGAAATTGATCTTGGATAACTCCACTTTAGGTTGTGACCTAGGCAAGAACAAAATAATAGGCTTAGACATATAAGTTATGAAACCGTTCAGACAATGGATGGGACCAGGGGGGTGGAGATTTAATAGATCGTATTGTGGCTGTGCATGAAATTCGAACTATTAATAAAAGGGTTGTAATGGACGATCTCACCAATCTCTGCCTTAGGCCATCGACTCAATGAAGACAATCTGCTTGGATTTTGTTGCGTCTTTTCTCCAGCATAAATAAAAAAAACTAACTACAATACACATAAAACGAGGGTACACTACAAAAGTGTTGTTGATTACGTTACTGTGGTTACGGAGACAATGGAAGATGTTAATGGCATTGATACAATGGAAGAGATGGTTACGGTTGACAATGGTCACTACAAAGACAAATGCGACTGTCGCGCAATCTAGCTTGGGGTGGGGGCGCTGCAAACCACCGATCGGGCAAAACCATCTTGTTTATATTTACAGCTAGTTGCGCCATCTTGAGCTTTAGGTGGTTTTTAGCTTGCTTAAAAAAACCAAATTATTTCTCTGAGCACAACGTTTAAAGGAAAACCTTGGTATAGTATAGTTTTACATAACACCGATCCAATTTCGTTCCAAATTAACTGTAGCTGAAGATGAGAGGGCAAATTCAAATTTGCCCCTCTTAAGTCGATCTAGGCGAAGAACCAAGTAGGTCATACGATTTGCTTAAAGTGATTGATCCTGCAGAAATCAGTCCTTGTTCAATATTTTACTGGCCAAGCTTTGGCCTAGGCATCATCAAGAAAATAGCCACAGTCTTACAGTCTTGTTATGCGAAAGAATATCTACAACTGCTAGGTCCAACCAAACAGTCCAAACAAAGTTTTGATGTGCTTCAAAGAAGGATTAGTGCAGTCGTTGAGGTGATGAACCAGGAACAAATTGGTAGAAAAGCAAAAAGTACATCATTTTACGTAGAATTTTTTCCTCTATAACATATCCAAAATCGCCTAAAATCCAACTTGGGGAAAAGTTATTCTAGAACTTTTGTGACACAGCTTTCTAGCGCCACTGCTGGGGGTAACGGGCCATGAAGCTACGTTACCACGACTCCCCAACTTGCAGCGAAGGCCCAACGCCCTTGCTCTGAAATTAAAGGCTAAAATGGGCTTTATCAAGATACTGCTTTGTAGCGTGGTTAAAATGTTCATCTTTTCTAACACCTTTTTGCGAATCTTTGGCCTGGGGTTCTGTTTATACAAAATAAATATGAATACAGTGTTACGCGGCAAATAAAATTCCCGCCCATGTTTTTAGGGAAATCAGAAACAAAACTGACTTCTTCCTTCATTAGCCCTCTTATTTATTTTTCAGGCCTAGAATAGGAGAATTGTTCCTTACGTAAATCTACCATTTTAAAAGAAAAACGGATTTCTTGTTTTTCTGAACAGATGCCCTTAGTTGTGCTACAAGTACTTGATTATCGAATGTGGCCTCGTATATCATATAAACCTCAATAAAAATGTTTCCCCACGGTCGATTTTGGGCGATTTAGAGTATGTTATAGAGGAAAAAATTATGCACAGGATGGTGGAAAAATTCGCTTTTCTACCGTTTTTTTCCCAGTTGACCTTAAATTGAACGCTACACGATCTCACTAGATGGTTATCACTAGATCACGATGGAATTAGCCTTGAAGAGTTTGCTGTTTTTTGCCAAAGGATAAGAGTGCTAGATTCTGTTTGTCTTTTCGGGTACTCTTTTGTTCAGCTCGAGGATGGTATTTTAACCTGCAAATACAATATTGCGTGACTAAAGCGCAACCTTTCGCGGTTTGCTGAATTAACATTCAGTCTGTCATTGTCAAGGATCACGAAGGGACGAATGTGTGACCGGGTGAGAGGTATAAGCATGTTTAGGTTTTTGCTTTTCGTTTCTACGCCTTGGCATGTAGTTTTCTGTCAAATTTTTGTTGCCCTTATTTCTAGCATCTTTCATGGTGTACCTTAAATCATCGCAGCCCACAAATATAGTTATTAAAGTTGGATGAAAATTCTCAGTAATATAATACAGCTTAGATTTTTGTTATTCTCGATTTATATCGTGATCAGGGCCTATTATCCCAGTATCATCTTCAATGTGATTTGTGGGTGCCCTGTCGTTTCTACCTAGTATTAACAACAACCATAGAAACCACGCAAAGAATGCGAGTACATACCGGCCTGTGTTGTTGTTAGGTTGGCTGTTGCTGCAACTTGCAACCTGTTGCAAAATACTTGTGATGTTTACACATTAAAAACTAGATGCAAACTCCAGCGGGATATGGTTGCAGAATTTCGCAGCAAGGTGGGGGATTTTCGGCGGCAATCCTGGTAATTGAAAACAAAATGGAGGCAGAAGCTGGCAGTGTATTAGCTTCAGTCTTCTTGATTTTGTACCTTCAGCTGTATAAACAACTTTATAGATCAACTCAAATAAAACAAGATTGAGGGTGAGGCAAAGGATTACCAGAAGGATGAATCTTAGCTAAGGATCACCACAGCTCATCATTCCGTTCTCAGAGAGCATATAACATGCTACAAAAATTATTTGCACATTGCTCCTGGCATTATGTATCCCTAAATATTTTCAGTCAGTGGGTTTTTTGCCTTCGATAACGAAGTAAAAATTGCATGATATTTTGCAGTATTCTAATTGGCTAGTGATGTGCATCCTAATGCAATTTCACCTAAAAAAGGGTTTTGATCCTAAATTAGTTGCAGGTTGCCAGCAAATTTCTTCGGTTGCTTATTCATAAAAGGGGCCTGCTAATAAAACCTGTAAATTGCACATTTCCTCAAAAAAATCCTTTTGGATAACTTGTAGTCACAAAAAACAATTCAAGATTTAACGGTTGGAGGGAGGGAGGGGGGGGGGGCTTGCAACGGAATGCCAAACTGGCACTATTATTCTATGTTCTTTCCGAGGAGAGGCAAATTCGCCAGCAAAATATGAAAGCTGAGATGAGTTCAACTTTTAAAGGCCGGTTTCCACTTGAATGAATTCGCTGAGTGTGTTATGTATGGCTGGAAAGTTGAACTTATTTCAACTTTCCTATTTCGCTAGCGAATTCGCCTATGCCCGGAAGAACAAAAGTCACCACGATTTCGCTGAAGATTCCGCTCAAATGGAAACCGGCCTTTAGCGCTCAACTGTATTGACGAATTCGCCCCTTTGTTTAACTTCCGTAACACGTTCGTTATGTAGTTATGTAATTTAAATCATCTTCAGAACGAGGCCCACGCCCTTCGTAGTGCTTCCTCGTCGTTTTGTCGAACGTGCTTTTCAAAAATCGTAAAGGAAGTTCAGGTTACTCATTTTATGAGTGTTCTTATGAGTGTTCTAGCTTGAGTGTTCTAACTTCAGTGCTCCCCCTGTTAGAGAAATTCCCTCCATAAGGAAATTGAAGCTGAATCGGGAGGGAAAAAGAAGGAAATGAAAGCTGGAAGGAAGAAAGAAGGAATTGATGTAAGAATAAAAAGTGAAAAGAATTTGAGAGAATGGTCAAAAATTTCCCTTGTCCATTTGTAAAAAAATTGTAGAAGTCATTTGATTACTATAATTTTGCTGTTTCCACATAATATTTTGTTCGCTACATTTCTAAAACACAGATTTAAGAACTGGAGTCACGGGGGTATGTGCCTAGAGGTCATGTTTCTACTTGCAGCCAACAGGGGTGCCCCCTTTTTGCCTTCATGTGCCCCAACTTTCAAAATGTTTCTGCGTCTATGATCCATAAAATAATCAATATTTTGTTTCTGTCTCTGTGTGCTGCTGTGCGATTAAGGTGTGGGTAGTTAAGCAGGTGAGCCATATCACTGTAGCATGATGTAGCTGAGCAAATCAAGCAATTTTCAACCAACGTTGCGTTTTTCTGATCAGTTTCCTACAAATATACGTTGATAGAAATCAGAAAGAAATTCCTGCTTTCAGGGAAAGAGTTTTGGCACAAAGAAGGAAAAGATTAGGATATCTTGTTTTTGGAAACTTGAGGCACTAGTCAGCTTGCACCGAGACTCAGGGGATTTATCAAGATTTATCAGGGTCATAGGCTATTACCATAAATTATGATAATTAATCATCGTCGATCAGCATCATCGTCATAATCAACATAATCAGAATAATTAGCATCGATCATTATCATCAATCTTATCGTCATCAATCATCAATCACCACAACCGCTATGATTATAAACTTGTATCCACGTACCGAGAAAATGTTGAAATTTCTGTCTTATTTTCTGCTAGAACCAAACGATGTCTCTATGTTGCACGAAATCTTCATTGCCATGGTGAACCATCAAGATGATGCCCATATACAAGAAACTGGATGCAGAGCCGTAAGCAGGCTGCTTGACAACAGCCCTAGCGTAGTGTCATTGATCGGTGAGGATGAAGAACAGTTGTCCATACACAACTCGGTGTTCGCTGCGATGAACATTCACATCAAAGATCCGTACGTCTTCCAGGCATCATGCGCCGCATTGCACGATCTGGCAACGGCATCAAGTAGGTTGCAACAGTTTCTAGTTGCGCGAGGCTGTTACGTCACTATTGTGGACCACATGCGGGAGAATATTAATGACGCTGCAATTCAGGTAAATTTGTTACTTGCCAGTTTCGTTGCATTTGAGTCGGGTATCTCACGAATGCCGCTTTACTGCCTGTATTTTCAGTGTGGTCGCAAAAGTTCTAATACTCACAATGGTAATGGTAATATGTGCAATGGTAACCCCAGTCAAGAGCGATTTTCCAAGTGTCAGTTCTAAATCCCATTTCCTAGCTTACCCTTTAAAGACCCTTTACACAAGAATGTTGATTTAAGTCCTAACGTAGGACAGTTCTAAGGACATGTATACGGGGCCCTCGGCAGCCCACCGAATCCCTGGGGAATTGTTTATCCTTCCATCTTGCGCCGCTTTGACCCCTACCTTTTTGCTTTAACATTAACCAAATGGTAATGCCTCTCACCTTCTTCTTTAAAGGAGTGGGGTTTCAGAGCCCTTCGTGCACTGTGCTCAGAAAATGTACTTCAAGAAGAAGTGCTGATAAAGTACGACTTGCTAACAGATATTCGTAAAACATTGCATGTTTTTGCGGACAATACAGGGGTGTTGGAAGAGGCCTTGAGCCTACTGGCATGCATGGCTGCTGATATGGACATAGTGAGGCGACAATGTTTGCTAGAGTTGACCCATGATCGTGTCGTTGAAATCATGAATGCACACAAAGGTGCCATTCCCTTGCTGAAAATATGTTTTGAGATCCTCGGTAAGTACTTTGCTTATTCACATGTTTCCAAGTCTTAGCCATAGAACATTGAACTCTTCAATTTTCTTCTTTAAAAGCTTGGAATGAAGTTCACGTGCCCTATCCAATCTACATGCTCGAGGGAAACCTTGCAAGAGTATTGTTAGTAAAGGAAAAAACATTTCTTATACCTCCAGAGTTTCTAGGTACCGTCTCTGAATCTTTAGGTATGACTCTCCAAACTTTTTCATTTCATTTTATCTTTTTTACCCATGGTAGCCCCCCAGTCGAGGACTGAGGTTTTCCTCCGCACAATAGAATGTGGTAATGCATTTTCGATGACCAGATCATTGTTGTTACTAACAGACATTTCACGGTCACAAAAAGCTGAATTTTTATGCTTATGATTTAAGACGTGCATTCCTAGACTAATTAGAAACCTAAATTCGCATTATTTGCTTATTATGAGTATAAGCTCTTGGCAAGCCGTCTACATATGTTCCATAATTTGTATATGTTGTGTTGTTTCACTGATAACGGCTCAGTTTTGTGGAATTTTTGACTTGGTAGGCTGCTATTTGTTATGGCAAAATTTGTCAAACTTATATGAACAGCCCCAGAATATCCCTTAAAGCATTTTCAAAAAGCCCATGTACATCTATCCTTGTGTTATTTAGTTGAAGTCTTAACAAAAAGGTTTTACTTTTAGAGTTGTTGAATTTGGATATTAATGTATATACATATGGACTGCAAGTATCTAGATAATACAGAAAGCAGTACCAAAGCGAATTGAAAGCATTAAACGAAATTTTTAATATGCGAATATCCAATCATTGTTGCAATAGTTATGCGTAATGTTACTTGAAAAGTTGCGACTTTAAGCGAAGAGCGACTGTAAACAGAGCTAAATTGAACAATTTAACGTATTTAAGCCTGAATTTCACGTGACTATACCTGGCAATGTGCCTTTGACCAAAGTGGCTGTATGCGGAGTCGACAGTAAAACTTTTTAGGCCAAACCTTTGTTTAGCAAAATGACCTTTTAACGTTGATTTTATTAACTGGATTTTACTTTTTTATGATTCATTCATTTGTTTTTGTAGCCGTTTTTGCTGCTTCAGAAGAGCAGGAAATACTATGTGGTGTACTAGGTGCTGTTGAAGAAGTGATGAGGAAGTACAAGTTCGAGAAGGACCTTCAGCTTACAGGATGCATTTTGACACAGCTTCTTGCAAGCATGGCCATTTGTGAAAATTATGTTGCCTGTAGCAACAGTGTTAGTCTCATCAGTGAAGCCTTGATAAAGTGAGTTTCTATTATCAAACATAGATATTTCAAACCCGCAGCGCCTTCAAATTTCCAAGTACACACTTTCATCGGAAACTGAAGAGCATTAACAGGCTCGATCCTGTCTTGTTTCTACAAGTAACAAGCAGTAGGCTTGATAGAAGCGTTTATTGCCCAGCAATATAGGTAGCGCCTGTTACTTGGATCTCTGGAATATTCTATTGTTTCAGGGGATAACAGCATATAGCGACAGTCGTTACATAATATTTCTAGTAACCAGATACCTGTGAGGCTTTTCTTCTTTGGTAGTCTTAGCCATACATGTGTTACTGCCTTTGCCAACGTCATTCGGGGACATCACCATATCAAAGTTTGCGCTAATATGCTATAAGAAAGGAAAGATTGTGCGATCCCCTTGACATCTCCATTAAGCATGTTTTCGCATTGATATAAACGTGTTTTGTGAGAAAAGGTGAGCCAGAAGATGACCTCAAATGTCTAAAACTCCGATAAAAAGCCATGTACTTACATAATGGGCATACGTACTGAAACGGGTCGAAACGTTAAAAAATGCTTTTAGGTCCCAAGTGATGTCAAAATTAGAGCCAAAAACGGTATCATTTGGTGCGAAATTCAATTTAGATAAGGCCTTTGATATTGCAGGTTAGATTTTCACGTCATTCACTTCAATGCAATATCAACTAATTTAGCCTGTTTCTCTGATTCATAAACCCATCTCAGTAGTTAAAGACTCATTGCTAACAATGAGCCATTGTGCTACGCAAGCATCCCATAATGCATTTTCAGACAGTCTGAAATCAATTATGGTTAATCCGTAGAAGTTTACTGCCATTGTTTGGATTGTCGCCTGGATAATTTGCCACCCTCGCAAAGGCTCATTGTTAGCAATGAGTCTTTAAAATTTCTGCCTTTGATTTTCCCTAGTCTTATTCCTAGTCGTTTGACGTTTTTTTACAAAGCTGCAGGTAGAAGTGGCTGATGGGTGGCTTCATGCCCTACGGTAATCGCTCAAAGCTGCTATATTTTCTGTAGCAGAGCCTTCAATGAGACATCCTAAATACATTGTATACATTTGTGCAGCCTCTATCCCTCTAGTACTAATGTCTTTCCAGCCGGCATTGTTTTACTTTTTTTATTGCCATGAGAAAATATTGTTATTTCATTTTCAGTTTCCCCTCTGACGTTGAAGTGCAGTCTGAAGCTGTTGTTGCAATGAAAGTTTTAGCCGAGCTTGAGAACGGACTGAAGGCAATTATCCATCTGAATGCTTATGAACACTTATTTGCTATATTGAACTCTAAAGCATTGCCTTCTGACATTCTTGAAATTTCTGCAGAGAGTCTTATGATAATTGGGAGCAATCCGGAGAATAGCGATCGAATGCTGCAATGGGCTCTTGTGAGAGGATGCAAAAAAGAAGCTGAATGGCTTTTAGGGATCGGGGCAGACATTGACGGAGCTACCCAGAATAAATCAAACGTTATTATTGCTGCAGAGACATCCAATTATAAGATGATGAAATTTCTTCTAGACAACGGAGCATCACATACGCAGGAAGCTCTGAAGATCAGTCAAAGCAAGTCCGACTCTATCATGATTGGCATTTTGCTAAGGCAAATCGGATTGGAAAGAAAAGGAGACACCTTGGTCTGGTCGAATTTGAACATATCTGAACTGCAAACTGAGTACTTTACGTCTTCGTTCATTGAAGAAACGGATGGACATGAAGAAACGTTTCAGGGGGATGATTGGGCCAATTATTTTGAGACAGCTGCAGCTAGACGAAAGCAAAGGTTTTCATCGCTAGATTTTTCCTTTGAGAGTTTAAGTGAGGATTCTGGCAGCGAGGAGCAAGCCACTTCATCACCAAAAATCCAAGTTAGCCGTGAACGGCCTAGATCTAGTAGCGGTGCCCTCCTTCCTTTCAACTCTCTCGATCCGCGTCTAGAGGGGCCTATGGAAACGTGCAAAGGTTTCGTTCGTCTGGATTCTCCTACATTACGAAATTCGTACCCAGGCCACCCAGACAGTTTGCTAATACCAGACGTGGACTGCGGTAACTTGCTTCCAAGTCCAACAAACAATGATATTGTGCCACCAAAGCACATGCTATTGAAACGTGCTACCTCCTTAAAACCTCTAATGCTCGATGATATGTCACCTGACAGTTCCTCCACGGCTGCTAACTTAAGAGCAAACATCAGAAAGTCCCGTTCAATGGACCTTCGCACAAAGATTAACGCTGAATCGAAACCGGTTATTCTTTATGCTGATATGTCTTTCAACCAGATTTCCCATTTCGAAGTGCTATCGACACCAAATCGCTTTATTAAACCTTTCTTGAACGGTCTTGTCAGACTGGATTTAAAGGGTAACAAATTGAAGGAATTCTCAGGCGTGGTCTGCCTCGAATTGACGAGCTTAAAACAGCTTTCCCTTGCTGAAAATCAATTGGAAGATTTTCCGTATGACATTTTGAAAAACAAAACGTTAGAAGTATTGAACCTCAGCAAAAATTCTATCAAAGACTTGAATGAGCAGCAAATGCACCACCATGTTTCTTTAAGTAGATTAGAATTGGATGCCAATGATCTGACCAAGCTGCCAGCCTGGCTGGATGATATTTTTCCTGCTCTCACCACATTGAGTATGTCTCAAAATCGTATTGCTTTGCTGCCTTCAAAGCCACTGCACTTAAGACAGCTCAGATTTTTGAATCTCTCTTTCAACAAACTTGAGACTATACCAGCCCATTTCCTCGATCACTGTTTAATGTTAGAAAAGCTGGATCTTACCATGAATAACTTGATATCATTGCCAGGACAATCTGCTAAAACATTCAACCGGCTGTCACATATCAAGCTGTCTCACAACCAGCTCAAAGAGCAGGCCCCATGGCATGTACCAAAGTTCTTGTTGGAACTGCAAAATCTCGCTTATTTAGATATTTCTCATAACAAAATAACCCAGATACCAGCTCCAGCAATGTGGGCGTCACACTGCGTCAAGGACCTAAACTTCAGTCATAATCGGATAAACAAAATCAACTTGGATGAAAGTGCCTCGAATTGGCGTAGCCTCTCTCATCTGAATCTGATGCACAACAAAATTGAGCGTCTACCGAAATTTATTGGGCATCTCACTGGTCTGACATATCTAAACTTCAGTTACAACCCCCTCGTAGAAATTCCGGATGAGATTGGGTTTCTTAGAAACCTACTAGAGTTGCCATTGGATTCCAGTTTAACTTTAACGCTCGATGCATCAATAAGAGATGGCACTGCCCAAGAAATATGCACATTTCTTTACTCAAAAATGAAGAATTCTGTTCCTTATCTTCGCATGAAGTTGATGGCTGTCGGCATGGAAGGTCGCGGGAAAAGCTCCCTGTTAAGGGCGTTGCAAAGTATGAAACGGTCAGAAATCGATTCTGCTACTGTGGGTATTAGGATCAAACCATGGTACCTGACTATTCCAAAGAAATATCAACGCAAAACATGGAATAAGAAGACAAACTTTGTCTTGAGCATGTGGGATGTTGCAGGCCAGGAGGATTTCCATTCAACGCATCAGTGCTTTATGACGTCACGAACTCTGTACCTTGCTGTTTTTGATGCCAGCAAAGGTCCTAGTGAGCTAGAGCATTTACGGCCATGGCTGCTCAACATCAAAGCCAGCGCTCCCTATTCCCAGGTTATTATTGTCGGCACTCATTTAGACCAAATAGAAGGGAACAAGAAGGAACATCTGAGAGAACTTGAAGTATGCATCAATGATTTCATTAAAAACCCCGGACTGCCAACATGTCGAGGATCTGTTATTGTTAGTTGCCATGGTAAGAGCAATGCCATAGAGGTATTACGAGAGAAGATTTTGGATACCATAGACACCTGCACCTTCCGTGCACAGTCACCCATGGATCAAACTGTGCCAAAAAGCTATGTGCAGCTTGAAGATCTACTGGTTGAAGAAGCCAGCAATCTGATTGACGCAAAACAGATCCCAGTCATCTCAAGGCGATCGATCTTCAAAATCGTCCAGGATAATAATTTGCAACTGGAAAAGCAGGAACTAGATCAGGCTGTAAAATTTCTTCACGAAGTTGGTAAGGAAATTTTTATTTTTGTAACTTTCGCATTTTTAAAGATCCGATCTTTCTCGATCTTTGGAGGGTAGTTCGCTATGCTCAGAGCTTGGCGACTTGTTGGACTTAGTGAAGAAATTGTGACGCATATTGTAATGCTGAGAAGTATTTTTTTGGGGTAAATGCCAATGCCGTTTACAAAAAATAGCACAGTGAGAAACTCAACACCATGACCAAAAATACCTCCACTTCTTTAAAGTCCTGAACTACCACGACACATTTAAGTGACAATACAAGAGTTTTATTTTTATAATTTTGATATTAAGTTTCAAGTTCTTTATGCAACTTAAGGTTCGGCAAGTTGGTCCAAGAATGCGTTGCACAAAACCGATTTATAGTAGACCTCAAAATGAAGAATTGTGAAGTAAAATGATATATTGTTTCCATTCGCAGGTGCTTTGCTGCATTTTGAAGATCCTAGCTTAAAATTATCGGATTGCTACTTCATCAACCCTGAGTGGCTGAGTCAAATGATGGCACAGGTCGTCACTGTGAAGGAGATTAATCCGTTTGTAAATGAGCAGGGCATTGTGCACCGAAAGAACCTGCCGATACTGTTTCGAGATGAGCGCTTCCCAGTAGAATTTATCGATACCTATTTACGGTAAGTGGAATTTTGTCACATCTCAGCTGTTCATCGCATTATCAATTAAAGTTTCAATTGATAAATCAATCTATCAAGTTCTTAGAGCAGGGACAGAAATTTTAAAAGAGTGGGTTACTGTGAGGAAGGCCAAATAAATGCGAAATATATTCCAGTGCCACACCAAGGCAAAGCCTACATTTCTGTGTTTTATACATCGGGAATCTCCTTCAATCACTTTTGCTCACCATTAAAGCTTTATTCACCATTAAGGGCTAATGTCGATTGTTAATGTAAAATTTTATTCTATTGTAATATATTATATTGTTTAATATTTTACTATATCATATTTCATTATATTGATATAGCAAAACTTTCATTTATATTGTATAGTATCCTATTACTTACTGAATTTTTTAAGTAAATACCTTAAATTACAGGCTTCTACAAAAGTTCGAAGTGGTTATTCCTCTTTCGGATGAAGAATTCCTGATCCCGTCCAAACTCCCTATCAAGCCATCTGGATTCACAAACAGAGTGACTAAGCATGCGATTTACAAAGAGGGGAATCTCAACCGATATTACAAATTCAATTACATCCCTGTCGGCTTTTGGGGTCGAATCATTTCCAGACTAATGCTATTTTATTCTCCACTTCAGTGCGAGGCAGACAAGGTATGGTGATTCCCAAGCGTAGGCAAGCCTAATTATTTGCCCCTTGTATTGATTCTATTTATTCGAATTGCTCTTCCTCTTCGCTGTTTGACTTTCTTCCCTCCAGTCATCTCTTATCTAGATATTTTTCGATTCATGTCTTATGTTAACAATTCAAGTAGGTTAAGCAGTTAAAAATCAATTAATACTAAAGTGACAATTCATAAAAAGCTTTTTTTCGAGTGATATTTTTTAACGTTTCCCGTCAGATTTATGTTTAGTGAAAGCTATTTTATACTTTTTGTGAATTGCTTACAACTTTAAGCTTGCAATTGGTAAATAGATACATTTTTAAGCTTGCATTGGGTGAGTAGATACAACTGAAGATACAGTTTATTTAACTAAAGATACAACGAATACAACTTATCGCAAGATCCTCATTTATATCTATTAGAAAAGATAGTTCCTCGCTTGGATTTACACTTTTTACTCTATTTGGTAGTGCTGTGGGTAGCACCGAATCTCAGGTATGGAATGGAGAACGTTATCAAACACAAAAAAGTTATTGCTTTTCATCGAATTTGTATCTCTTTTAGACACCATTGGTTGAATACTGGAAGGATGGAATATTCAGATTCTGGTCAGAGGATAAATACTTTGTGGTGGCAACATCAGAGCTCCACCCAGAAACAGTCGAAATCATTGTGCCAATATCCCAAAGGGGATACGAGCTACTTGGGTTTTTGGTAGATCATGTTGAAGCTTTGATAGAAGAGTGGTACCCCGGACTAAGTAAGTAGATCGGCATTACTTGTGATGTTTGAAGGAGTTTCTTATTGATCATTATTAGTTGGAATTGAGGCTGAAAAGCTCAAAAGAAAGTACCCCCCCCCCTCCCCTGGGTACATTGGGTACATGATGTCAAAAGGCAGAAATAAATAACGGCCCCAAACAGGTGGGCAAGCTCAGTTGTTTGTGGAAACGCAGATTGTTTCGTTTGTAATTTAACTTGAATTTTATTGGCTTAAAAGTGTTTCTGTAAAGCATTTGTGTCACCAATGAGAGAAAAAATGCGTAAAATAATCATTATTTAACCGATTTTTTATATAATTGTATAGATTCTGGTGGTAAACTGCCGAGGATTTTCAGTTTCCGAATCTAACCATACTTCAAGTAGATTTCTGATTTAAAGATGGTTCATAAACATTGTTCATGTGGGGTAGACATAATTATGAAAAAAGGAATATGTATTTTTTTTTCTTATTGCATATGCTCTTTCTTAAAGCGATTCCTGACCCAAAAGGGAAACTGCCTGTTGAAAGGCTTGTGCCTTGCTTGCATTGTGCCAGTTTGGACAAAAAACATTATTTCACTGTGGACCAGTGCATCACGCGTTCAAACGAGAGCGATTCAATATGGTGTCCCTCTCACGAAGGTGAGGTCGATCTAAAATGCCTAGCACCTGATGTCCTCTTTGCGGATATTGATGGAAAATATGTTTTAAAAGATGGCGATATCGAAATTAAAGATTCAACGAAGAACGTTCTTGACGGGGGATCATTTGGTACTGTGTACCAAACACAGTGCAAAGGAAACAGGAATGTGGCAGTAAAGGTACTTACGTTTTCATTCAGTGTTATTTTTAGAATTTTTCTCTTTGTTGATGCTAGTTATGTGAAAAAATTTAAATTATCATCCGTTAAATAGCGTACTTCCAGCGTGTACATTCCGCGGCTCTGCCATAGCTTCGGATTTCCACAACGGGCCTCAACCTAAACGAAAACGCGTTGCAAACATAAATGTATATATATTAATTGCTGACGATAAGGGAATGAGAAGACCAGTGAATTGTGACTCTGATCATACGAAAATTTTGCATACTTTGATGGCATTGATCATCCTTACCTTACCCATTCCCTTACCCAAGAAACAATGCGTACTGAAAGGAGCCGATTGGTCTCTAAGATGACAAAGTCGACTGCAGTTGGGCGCCCACCCCGATACAAAGATTTACGATTTTCAAGTAAACAATTTTCGGAGTTCATTCACTTATTTACTTATGACATGCTTTTCAGGTTTTCAAATCAGGAGAAGCGTATTCCCCACACCGATCTCTTCGCCAGGAGGTTACCATTTTGCAGCAGTTACATCATCCCAGCTTGGTTTCCATGGTTGGCGTGATACTGAGGCCATCTCGCTGCCTTGTCTTGGAGTTAGCGACTAAAGGTTCTCTACGCAAGGTTCTAAATCGAGATCACTTGAGCCGGGGGATGCAGCAAAGAATCGCATCACAGGTATTGCCTTTGACATTTACACAGGGGGATACCTGCCCAGACATGTTTGGTTGGCTTCTGGTACCGAGACTCTTTTCCCTGTTTACACAAGGACGTTCAAAAGCTTCCTTAGTTAGTAAAGACGAACTATGTACTGATAAACCAGAGCCTAGGCACAAAAATTCTATCAAAAAGCTGTAAAATAACACCATTGCAGCTTTGGTTATATTGTCATGTTATGATTTTCCTCCGTTAGGTTGCTGATGGCCTGGCATATCTGCACAGTCTGAACATTGTTTACCGAGATATGAAGCCGAGCAACATCCTAATCTTTTCTTTATCAATGGGGATACCAGTCAATGCAAAGATTTCAGATTACGGCATTTCACAGTACATCACTCCGCAAGGGCTGTGCGAGATAAGTGGCAGCCCAGGGTACCGAGCTCCTGAAGTGGACAAAGGATATTGGATTTACAACAAAGAGGTCAGAAACTATTCCCTACAGTACTGCAGCTTATGCAATAAATTCAGTAGCTCAGTAGATGTTGATAGTGCGCTGTATGGTTAGAATAAGCTTTTTCAAGGCAGTGTTCTTGCTCAAAACTAAAAGCTTTGAGGAAATTTCGTAAAAGGGATGCCTCTTGGTGCCCCTTAGCCCCTGAGGCAATGTCAATGTACCTGTTTGAGGATCGAATTGAGACAGCACGAAAAGGGCATACCAAAATGACTTTTTACAGTCAGTTTCCTCTTAACTCTGCTATAATTTAAGAGTCATAATGAGCAAACTGGTTTTTCTGCATAGTTGTGAATCCCCTTCAGGGTATCTATAACTTAAACCGATTGCCACTTCTTGCTTCCAATATTGTTGTCTCTGAAAACATTCTTGTATATAGCAGTAATTTTGCTCAAACACCTTTTCGCCTCATTCTTATCCATTCTGAATTTATCTTGATTCCCTTTAACGGGTTCCTTTTTTAGGCCGACATATTCTCCTTTGGTGTGACACTTTTTGAACTCGTTACTGGCGGTAGGAAGTTGTTTGGAAAGGAGGCTACCTTTTCGCCTCATTCTTATCCATTCTGAATTTATCTTGATTCCCTTTAACGGGTTCCTTTTTTAGGCCGACATATTCTCCTTTGGTGTGACACTTTTTGAACTCGTTACTGGCGGTAGGAAGTTGTTTGGAAAGGAGGCTATGTATCAAAGCGAAAGAGACAACAACTTTGTGCAAGGAAGAGGCATCAAATCCATGATGGCGATGGGATGTCCCCACTGGCCAGACATGCAAAATATAATTTTGAACTGCCTAAACTTTATACCTGGTAAATTTTGCACTTAATTGTATCTGGTTTTCTTCTCATAGTATTCCAGAACAGGGAAAACTAACATGTTTCGACCACAAATAATTAGCGAATGGTGTAAAGATCGATACAATAGAAAAACCATAATAGTTGATAATTGGAAGTGCATTACTTGTTTTCACTTTTGTAAATGTAAAACACACAGAGGTCATTTTGCATTGATCATTTCGCTTTCTGCAAAGAGTTATCGTATACCAGTATTGTTGCATCGTCAGAAGTAAGGAACTCTTACTTTACTAGAAAGAATTGACACCTTCACAGTACATTGCAGAAAAGACAGTTTTTTTATCATCAAGCAAGTTAGTAATTGTACAATTGTGTTTTAAAGCTGCTGAAAAGCCTGTCAAAATATTGCCTATTACTTTTATTTCATCAAAGGTTTTACAGAAGTGTTTTGAAATTGCTTTGCGTTTGTAACATTAAACCTGCCAATAAAAAGTGACGTCAAAATTTTATCCCGGCTCTGTAATTTCCTCGCAGATAAAAGACCCAGTGCGAAGCAACTAGCGCAGTGGTTGTCCTCCGCAGATACCTTGTGTTTAAAGCAAGAAGTTGGCGTATGTAAAGGACAAGCCGTGGAATGCATGGCAGTGTACCAGAGTTTTAACCGCGAAGGCGAAACCATGGAACTGTGGATCGCAAGCGGAGATTCATCTGGACAAACCCAAATGTCATGGCTTACTCTCGTTGGGGATGGAACCCAGGTGAGTGAACCAAATTTCTACTTGTAGCTGCCAGCAAGGCTCCAACCCGCCCCTTTTCGCAGGAAAAATTGTAGCAAAATTTTGTATCTAATTGACCTTCAAGCTTTAAACGAGTGGTCGCAACACGTTATGCTAAATTTGAAGCGAGAATGGTCTAACAGCCTAATGCGAGAGCTTTAAAGTTTTTATTTACAAACCAAATGCCATTCGAAAATCACCATCTATTCTGCCTTTTCTTCAATTTTTACTTTCATGAACTCTACCAAATAAACTTTCTGTTGGAAAAAGCTGATCAAACACATGTATATATTAAAGATTCTTTTTTCGTGCTAATTTTACTGAGCTGGGTAATTTGCGAGGCTAAAGAAATAGAAAAATTGGTTTTTGATTCAGTCCGCTTGATTTTTTGTGTGCTACTTTTTCAAATTCGAATAACTGTACTCTTATTTGTCAGGTATCTGGTTGCCGAGGGATGTTTCTGCGAGATGAGCGTGTACTGTGCATGTGTATAATTAAAGATCAGATGGTAATAGCTGGAACACAGAAAGGAAACATCGTAGTATTTGATGCAGAGTCACACGAACAGCTTAACACTATTACAGACCTTGGTGATTCTGTTCTGTGTTTGAAGATGTACTCTGTTGATAATCGTTACTTGATTATTGCCGGTTTGGCTAATGGACACATTGCAATCTTCAATGGAAATGATTTTGCTAAAACTGGTGAGTATGTTTATAAGGAAATAATTTGAAGAGATTTTCTTCTTCACATTTTTTCTTGTTTAAAGATTTCTTTGGACTTAGGCCTGTTAAGATTAAAATCCGTTGACTTACGAATACAGCTGGAGTGACGTTTATAGATGTCTAGTATCAAAGCTTTATTAAGTTTTGTGTTTATTCTGTTTATTGTGTTTATTGTTGTTATTTATGTTCAGAGAAATGAAAATTTGTAATTTTTTCTTATCCAATATAAAAGTATTATGTAGTGTTACCTAGCTACCCATTCCATGCCTGACAGCTGAAAACACTAATGGAAACACAAGACAAATTGATTTTTCTTTATGTTAAAATGACTTATAACAGACCGTTAAAAAAGGGAACGATTCATAAAGTTTCCTTCTCAAACCTTTAAAATAGATGCCATTTCTTGTTCTTATCTAATAGATTTTGCTAATCGAATGCGACCTACCTTCTTGCAGCGTTTTTTGATGCAGTTAGCAGTCTATCCTTGTTCCCACTAAGTTTGTTTGTGTTAATTGACGTTTTACGTGTTTTTGAGGTCTTGAAAGATCGAAAACTTTAATAATTTCAATTCTTTTTGTTTAGATCAAATCCGCCCAATAACCCAAATGGAAGTTTTGCAAAATGAGGAGGGTTTATCAGACTCGAAGCGACGCCACCCGGTAACCTCTATTCAGATATCACGCCGAAAATGTTACTGCGGAGTAGGAGGACGAATTGCAGTGATTGACCCAAACCGAGGCCATACAGAGCGCTTCATATCAAACGGAGGCGAAGTTAATAACATAATCAATCAGATTTCTATACGGAAATATATCTGGACTTCTTCGAAATCAAGTAGTGTAGTTCATTGTTTAGATTCGACAACTGGTATTCTACGAGGTTCGTTTGACTGTGCAAAAGTTCTTCGGGAACGCTACCAGGATATATCTCAGAGTGACTGTCGTGTTTTGAGCTTGTACCAACAGAGTGATGCGTTGTGGATTGGATGCGGAGGAGGACATGTCATAATTATCGATCCAAACTCGAACTTCAAGGTTCTTGCTGTGGTTTCCCGGCATAGTTCAGCTGTCCGATGCATCATCGGTGCATCCGGTAACGATGAAGGAAAACCGGTTTCGTTGGTGTTAACAGGTGGTATTGGATTTTCTGAGAGAGCACAAAAAGTGGGCACTTGTGATAGCAATTTCGGTTATGTACTTGTATGGCAAGCAGAACTACCCCAGCACTATGCGTATTTAGATAATTTAAGGAGGTCAAGACAAGCGCTAATAGAGTCGTAAAGCTTCGTGTTAATTAGCAAGCGTGCTTTTGCGATAACTTTGTAATTGTACATTGAATAAGCATAAAAAACGGAATCTGATTAAACAGGTCCTTGTGACATGTAAGTATGTAATATCAAAAGATTTACCGTGGCGTGTGCCCAATCACCAAATCCACCCCTTATGATGAACCGACATATAGATTTCCCTAATATGCCCCTTTAAAGTAAACCGTTCCTCTCAAAGCTCTTTATCATTCCAGTCGAACTAGCCATTTATATGGCCATATTAGCTCCTGATGCAGCGACAAGTAGACTGTATCTTTGGAAGCAGCGACAAGCGGACTGTAACTTGTTATTTAGAGATCATATGTTCACCTTCAAAACTATACCTCCCGCTTCTACCTCCACAAACGCCACAACACTTATAATCATTGTGTAATAAAATTCTGTCGACGCATTCATAAAAGAGATATTGAAATATTGTGTTTTTCATTGTTAATTCATAATATGTTGTACATTTAGAAAGTGTGTCAAATCTCCGTATGACGGAATTATCAAGCCTTGTAATTCATATAGACAGTACGGCTGTATATTGCAATTTAGGGATTTCTAGCAGGATGTTCTTTGCTTGGCTTCAGTCACAAAAACAGTTTTAGAACCTCGGTTTTATGTTTGTAAACGTCTTTAGAAAGTCTCACAATAGGCCATCGATGTTCTTTTTTTGCATGGTTTATTGAAATTTCATTGGCCCTGATTCTCAAATTTCTGAAGCCTTTATGTATTCTGCATTTCCCGATTGCAACACCAGCTGACAACATCTATCAAGTTGAGTTAATGTTTTCGTGTTTAAAAGATTATAATTTTATATACTGTATATTTGATTGGATGCCTGACGACTGGGATTTATTTTGTAAAATGGCAAATTGGTATTTAATACAATAGTTTGATCAGTTTCGTTTATAGCTCGTGCGATTGTAAGGACAGGAATGAAAGTTTTGTTCGACAGTTTATTTACAAAGAATCTGTCGTTTTATTTGTTGTATCCTCTGAATTTTGAGGTTTGGGGCGTGTTAGTTCGTAAAATAATCCAAAGGGCATTTGTAACCGATGTGTTGGGAGAGAGACGTTTTTTGTTTGTACACTTTTGACAATAGGGGATGACCCTTTAGTTGTGGTAGTCCCTTAAGCAATCAGAAATAATCAAAGTACTAAGACACAATATTCCCCATTTTATCCTTACGTAGAAAAGGACTATTGCCAAGCGGATTTTTTTAACATAAGGGCCAAACTCGCCATTGTTTAAAGTTTCATTCATGATGATATTGTGCACTGTTTTGGTTTAGTGTTAGGCCTTTTCTTTCTCATTAAATTTAAAAACAATATAATTACGCCAAAAAAAATATTTACATGATTGTAACTGCCCTTTCCTGTTAACTGTCAAATAGTTTACCCTCATTTTTACCCCCACCCCCCAAAGGGAATGCCACTCCTAGGGCATTAGTTAAACAATTTCATGATATGTTACAACTAATTTGCAAGCATTGTCTCCACTACAAGAATTTTTAGCTTGAGGTCCTTCTGGTCCTTTCTAGCTTTGAAATCAACAAATACCATGACTTATTCAATGCCTTTTGAAAGTCACCCGGGAACATTGATTTCTGAGGAAGAAAAGGCCAAATATGTCTTTTTAGAGGAAGAAAAGGAAAAATTTGTATAACTGCACGTTTTCAATTTAATTTTATCTAGAGACAAGAAATGCGGTGGCACAAGGCCTTTAGGCCTAATATGAAATGGCGGACCCATTTTGGCATATTGGGTCACTATTAATAGATTTATAATCAATGGATTTCATTGTCTCAGTAAAAACAGATGGTTTGCTTGGCTGTTAAGGTACGTGGTAATTGATTGGCTAACGTTCTGTTATTTTCATTTATTATTTTCAGTTAAATCAAACAATAAAGTAACAGAATCAACAAAGACAGATAAACAGCCTTGAGGGCTACAGACTATCCCTGCCAAAAAGTCTCTCGCAATCAAGGCATTTTTCACTAACTGCAAAAATCGCTGTTACAGCTTCTTGCAGGGAAGAGTAGCTTTGCATTGTGCAACTAGACGGACACTGCAACCCCTCTCCTCCACCCAAAACAATGTTTGCTATAGAGTTCACTATCACAGCTGTCTATCATTATTAATGATATTATCAATCAATTGGACCATACCGAACCTTTTATTTTTGCATAAAACAATATTGTTCAATGGGGGAAGGGGAGATGCTATGTGAAATACACATAGATTTGTTACACTGTACCAAGACTTTTGGCAGGCATTGGAGCTTTAGAAAAAGTAGGCCCGCCACTCCTATCTATCTAATGTATTTTGCTTATTCAATAAATAACATCCTTCACTCTAATGACATTTAAAATTAAAATAACATCATAACCACGTGACGTGTCTTCAAGATATATGGATCCAAGTGAAATTTAATAAGAGCAAAGGTAATTCAAGAACCATCCACACACGACGTCTATTGCTCATAATTTGCACGCAAATTTGATGAGTGTTCGCTGTGAAAAGTTGAGCTCTACTGAACGCTGATCAAGCTTTGCTTTATAGTGAAATAAAAAAAAGTTTTGTGTTCGTTTGAGAAAAGAGCATCCAGTGCATCAAACATAACATTCAGTTTGTAAATGATCGCATTTTAAAAGTATTTTTTACCAAGTAACTTAATCTTACATTCTATTGGCATTTAAAAACATTGTTATTGTTTTGTATCTTGCATATATACTTCCCATAATTTTGCTACTACGAATAATTCTATATGGTCCTCTTGCAGTCTACATATCGCTAGCATCCAGGTACATCGGGCATTTATATTCTTCCAAACCTTGATGATCCTCTGAATCCAAAATGCGCGTACTCAGTCGCAGTCTCCCGTGCACGTCTCCGTATTTCGGACACCATATTTGGTCATTTTCGCTGCGAAGGAGAGTTAAGATATGTCCTCATTCAATGCAATGCAAAATGGAGGATTTCAAGTGGTGAACCATCCCCATAACTTCATGTTCAAAGAAACATCGGAAGGCGATAAAAGTGAGTTTCAAATTGTGCTTAGGCTAAGACTTCTTCGGGAATCCCTTTACTGTGAGCGATTTACTTGCATTTCGCGATCATATTATCCGAAAATAGCATAGCCCATTCCCTATATCAAATAGAATTAAATTGCAAAACTTTACTTTTACATTAAAGTCTTTAACTCTCGCTATTACATTAAAGGGAATTTACCTTGAAAAACCTTCCTCCGGAACTCCAGTTCTGTATGTAGGGAAATCAAGGAAAACAGACCCGTGCTGATCCGAGCTGCTGCCACGCAATAACCTGGTGCTCCTCCGTATTTTCAATTTCAAGTTGCTGAGCTGAACGACAGAGAAATCATCAATTTTTCTTTTCTTTGGTATCGTATTCATTATGACTTCGTCGTCCTTGATCTCAATAACTTCAGGTTTCCGTTTGCGAGGACTTTCTACCTTCATGACAGAATATCCATTTTTCGGAGAGAAAACTATCTTCAAGGGCGTGACGTGATGACTCGAAGCTGCTCCTCTGTTGCCAAGTTTCTTATTTACAGGCGTGACTGGGGACCCTGGAGACTTATAACTAAAACGAACAAGCGATTTCTATCAACCCTAATATCTAACCAGCTTAAACAAAAGTCTGCTAGGGCGGTCCCTTTGTAAAAACAGCCCATTACATTAAATTGTTAAGTGTAATTTTTTTAGTAGGTATACGAACAACTTTACATTTTTACGGGGTTTACAAAGATTAAACTTCTTTCTGTTACAACAGCCTTTTCCTTCTCAAACTCTAACTGCCCCAACAAAAAGCAATCAAAGGATTGCTATTGCTCTCACAAGTTGTGAAACATAGAGTAGAACCATTACAAACTTCAAACCTTTTAATTGTAAGTTTCTTCGGTGTCCTTTGCTGCTTGAAACTTTTCAGATAAGCATTTGGACTTCTCCCTTCACTGATTACTGCATCCAGCTTTTGAAAAGCATTCGAATTTGCAGCATTTTCCAGATGTCTTTTGCCTTTTAAATGTTGCTTTATCCCCCTGTAATTTATGTTGCAAAGCTCACAGTAACCGGCCTTTTTACTGGATGAAAAATGACCCGTCGCTCTTGCAGTTTCAACTTGAACCTTCTGTCGCTGAGTACTTGCACTTTGAGATGACCTTTGCCCTTTACTTGACCTCTTGCCTTTTTGTGAAGCCCTAGCTGGAGGATCAAATGGACATCCAGGCTGCAAAGATTCTAAATAGATTTTTGGCCATTCTTGCATCTCTTTTATAAGAGGCTGATACAATCTGAAAGAAACTTGTCTCTTTATTGTTTGCATGTAGCAGGAATGAGATTCAATATATCTCACCTTGATACGCGATTTCATTCTAGGCTAATTATAGACTGATCGAATTCTTTAAGGGAGGATTTCATTGATGCTATACAAGTTGGCAAAACAGTCTATAGTTTGCTTAAAAAAGAGGATTTGCAGCGTAAGGAGAAGTAGTAAGACGGTCTCAAGACAAGCCTTCCTTTCTGATAATTTATAGCATTTGTCACGTTCAAATATAGTGAAATTCCAAACAGGGCTGACGAATGAGATGAACAATCCCTTTATTTTTCTTTTTATATAAGTTGTTCCATTGAGGCAACAATAAAGCAACTTTGCCACATTCTTTATATTTCATTTTTTAACTTTTTTGATTCTTCCAAACCATTTCAAAAGTATTACGCAGAATTGGCTAAACATCTGGTTTTCGACCATTGTATTTCTTCTGTTTATCCAGTACATAGAATAATCTTTTGCGAGAAAATATACCGTGCTGAATGCAGGAAAATATTTTTAAAGTTTTTTCAGCATTCAAGCAAAGAAATAAAGCATGAAGCAGAAGTATTTGCAAAAATAGGCGATATGGAGATTTTATACCAGGTGTGGGGCAACATTAGACAATTTTGATCATTGGAAAATAGTATGTATTAGTTGCAGTGTATCAGATGAAATAAGATTTTAGTATAATCTTATGGTATTTCTAATATCTTACTTGTGCATTTATTACTAAATAGTAGGAGACGTTGAATTTAATCAACTTTAGCATTAAGACGTTCTATTTATCTGCTAACTTCTAAGGAATTATTTTAAGAAAAGGCGTAATTTCAAATCATAAATATCTAACAAAATCTCTGTTTGATATAACTTGGTATACTCAACCTTACCTTGACTGATCCTCGACTTTGACAAATGGAGCTCGCAATTTTCTTGCAGTGGCTGGTTTTTCAGTCCAATTTGACTTTTCTTGTTGCTCTTTTTCTTTCACTTGATTGTTTAACTCTATTTTACTACATTTTCTCAACAATCTGTGCATTTCTTCCATTTGAAGAACAGTTATTCCCAAGCTTTCTGCTACTGTTACAATGTTTTTCTTGCCATTTTTGTTTTTCTGTTGGTTTTGTTTTACGTTTGCAAGGATACTTTGAGCACGTGTAAGTGGCTTGGGAGGAAAAACGAGCAAGAGTATACAGAAGAGTTATTCCACAACGATCCATTTTGGATTCCTTTCTTATCAACACAAAAAAATTAAAAGTAGCATGCTTTAGCAATGATCAAAATCATAAATTAAATTTTATCAAAGTTAGGAGCACTTCACTTAAAGTTTTATTTGTTTTCTCAAAAATATAGAAGAAGTATATCTCTATTGATGAAAATGGATTGGAAAAATTTGTTCTTTAAGCCTAAAAAGTTTTAAAACAAAAATGGTTTTTTACCTTTTGTTGGGGTCCTTTTTGCGTACGGGGTGATCTTCTTTGGCGGTTTTCGGTAACGACACATGTCACATCTTTGCTGAAGAAGTGTTCGACTCGCTGCCAAGTAAAAAATGAAACCTTTGTTGCAAACTTTATGGAGATTTCAGTATTTGTGGATGTCCTTTCAATGAGCGTTTTAGAAAGGTTAAACAAAAGCTTCTATAAACAGTTTTTCTCTCTTGCGTGATACTTCTGCTAATTTCAGTCGCAGATTAGAAATCTATGTTCTGTGAATTTGTTGCAACAATTGCAAGCGAGCCAGGAGCTCTAGAAGTTCTTTATCCTTAATTACTTTGATATTTTTAATTCACTTTATTTTTATATCGTATACAGCTCTCTACATTTAGCAGAACAATTAAATATCTTTACGTAACAAATAAGTTTCTAGTCCTTCAAGAATCCAGGATTTTGAAACTTTCTTTTCGCAAAGTTGATCTGCTCCAAGTTGTTCTTGCACAGTTTTATAAGCCTTTTGAAATCTTAACATCCACATCTCAAATTCAAGCATTTTGAAAGGTTTATACCATCTGTGATTCGTATCCTTGCATAGAATAAACATACCCCTCCACTTTCTAAGATTCTCTGCTCAATGCTCCTAGTTTCTCGGTTTCCAGGAAGATCCAAATAGAAGATTCCATTTTTTATTGTTGGTCTTCCGCCATGAAAGAGTCTGCGGGTTACATCTAGGAAGATACATCGGCCAAAATAAATGAACACAGTTAGAAATAAGTTTGAAAGTGCTACGAACAGGTTTTAAACAAAAATTTACCCAAGCTGATAAAAAAGGAAATTGTTTGCATACCTTGCTTGTTCATCTTGTCGTTCTCTGCGCTGATATGTTTCCACAATGGTTAGTTATTGGTGCCGCGACGCATAATGATGACGTAATATGACAACTAATTTCACGCATGAGTAAATATGGAATGTTCGCCTTAAGACCTAGGCGTTTTACAATCAGTTAATAGATTCTGAACAGTTTTTTGTTTTTTGAAGGTAATTAATAATACTGAAGGTAAATGCTTCTCGGTAATATCACTTTTTTAACATCGAAACACAGAGCAGTGGATTGATGAGGATATAAAAAAACAGATTAAAAATTGTACTATAATTCTCACCATAATTCTCACAAAATTGTACCATAAAGAGCGGGGAAGAAACAATCAAAATCCGAGATATTTTCGTTTGTGAAATTACTTTTGAGTGGAGTCTATACTTTTTCGATTATAACTTGTGAAATACGTTTTTCTCTAAGCTCATTGAAATTTACAAACAAATAACAAACTGAAACTCAAGTACTACAGCGCGATACAAGACAACTACTGTACAACAAGGATATCACCATGGGTACCGTGCTTCATAGTAACTCTGTAATCATTCAAGCCTTTTTCCTAAGTAGATGCCAAACGAGACATTCAACGACGGGAAAGTAAGTGATAACAGCTTTTTCTTGCATTCTATGACGAAAAGGAGTTGCGAATTTTGCACGTTGTATATTTACAATACCTGCCAAAAGCCCTGGAACAGTGATGTCAGTTTTCAAGGTCTAGTTCCGCCATCTACCTCTCCCTCAGGGAGCAATGCTGGCTTTCTATATGACGGCGTAGGAGATCAGAAAAATAGACAAGAAAAATAAAAAAGCTAAACAATTTCTTATTATCACATCAGGAAACTCACCATGAAATCTGCTTTGATGTGGGTTATGTTAAACCGAATTTTGAACAGATTATTCAAATTCAATTAAGCTTTGACTTGATATTGCTCTCATATGAAAAAGCAGATAATACAAATATCCTAGGAACTGGCCATAAATTCCGGACTGATTAGTTACTTATAAAAAGATAGATGTGGTGCCATCCGGCAAGCTGCAGTTTCTTAAATCATATCAAGTCAATTTCTTAAAAGTGGGGTAATACTGTATTCATCAAGGGGGAAAATGGTGGAAGTTGTGATTTTTTCGAAAAGGAAATGAACGATTTAAATTCCAACGTAAATTGATGGTTTAGGTGCTTCTAGAGGCATGGTAGGAAGAGAAAAAGCAAGGATCGAATAACTGTTCCCACTAAAGCTCAATAGTGGTGTAGTCGTAAAATTATAGGAAGTATAAAGCAGTAGCTAAAGACAATAAAAGCGTTCAATTAGTTTTTTCAGAAATATAAAATATCTTTTGCCTTCTAATACAACCCTACACTTGACATTTAAGATGATTATAGTTGTATGCTTTTAAAATATTCAACTTGATAGCGCATCACCTCAGCTGCTCAGGCCACAAGAGACCTATATCCTCCACAAACTCCTTGCTTTCTTTCTTTTTTGCTTTACTCTCATCCTAGTGATATATGCAATGCTCTGCTCTGCATATAATCTTTTCGTCCCTTATCATCTTTCATAGAGTCTTTATCGTCCTCTTTCCATAGAAATCAGTATCCACTCCGTGATCTTCTTTAATCCACTTTCTTGCTTCCATTCGTGCGACATGACTTGTCTATTTTCCACTAATATTTGACTTGTCTATTTTCCACTTACATTTTTATAGGTTTTTTACACCATAAACAACATTTGTGTATGGTCTTAAACCTTCATTTGTTCACTTGTCTAGGCATGTGACGTTAAGTGTTGCTCTTGCCAATGCCAATAAACGCTCATGTCTAAGTTCTAGCACCGTATGCCATTGCTGGTAGTATTGATCCATCCATTATTCTTTTCTTATTTAAAGCCTTAACTTTTCCTCATGAAATCACAATATTGCCGAAATCTTTGCCAGGCTTTTGCTTTCGTTTTCTGAGATTATTAACTGACTCAGATCAACTTGCTCATTTTCTTCTTCTTTGACTTCGCCCTCTACTTTAACTAATTCACAATATCCTTTTTACGGCACTGGGTACGATCACGAAAAAGGACCTCCAAGTTACGCATGCCCAGTCTACACAAGCGAATGTCCAAAATGCAATAGCGATGTTTTCATATGATCTAAATCACTTTCGTGCACAATCAAACCTTGGGCGAGACAAGAACTAAAGGTCTAATCATTTTACTTGTTATATTGTCAAAAATAGCTTGGTATATTGTTTTAATTTATAGTAATATACTAGAGTTTAGGATATAAGTATAAATATCGAATAATAGATGTATCCTAACCATGATGGTATTGATGATACAAAACACTTCTTTTTGCTTTTCCCTTGCTTCGATGTACAGAGGTAAGGCCTTCTCACTGGTATCCATTTAGTATTAACTCCGCTCGGATAAGTAGAACTTGCAAATAGATTTTGTTGCAACTTTTATTGTATACACTCATTTTTTTATAAGAAAGAAAGGTCGATGTTGAGTACTCCAGTTTCTTAATGTTCTTTAAATTTCAATGCTCATTGTTTCTTAAGAGTTTCTTAATTATGATGTCATGAATGATTTTATGAAATGTTCGTGACCTTTTTTTCACGTCAAGAGATTCGCTTCCGTTCTGACGATGTATTTAGACGTGGGAAGCATATTTTTATCCCTTGTGTCTTAATTTCTAGGCCATCAAGGCAATCATGTTCTTGGATTTTACAAAATTTCGTTGTTCTCAGTTTTATCACGATTTAATAGTTTCTTAATTTTTTTGCTTCGAATACTGGAGTTTCTTAATTTTTCTGACTGTCCAGTACTCGTTTCTTATTGCTAGTTTCTAATAAAAATATGAGTGTATAGCGATAAAGTTCTTCCTGATTCATTGAATAATTTATGAACATTTTATCCGTAAAAATTGTCATTTGATTGTATCCTCTGTTCCATACTTACATAAGCCATTGAATCCTGATGTTGTTCTTGTAAACATTGCTTTTAATTTGCAATTTTGTTATTCTTTTAGATGCTGTTATGGTATTTTATAGTAATACATAAGTGGATTAATCAGTAGCTTGTATTGTGAAACATCGCAGCTGTTAATATTGTTATTTTGCTCACCATGTCATCGTCTTTAACATCGTCTTTGTAAGTAGATTAGAATGTAGCTTGTATCGTAATATTTCAAATGAATATATAAATATATATAAAAAAATATTCAAGAAACATGTTGTCACTGCTTGTGTAGATAGTATAAGGCTGAAGCCCAAACATTTTAAAAAGCATGACGGTACTTTGTCACGTTACCACTCCACGACACCACTGCAGCTAAATCAAATACAGCTGAACACAATTTCTATCATTTTCATCTTTCAGCTAAATCAAATACAGCTGAACACAATTTCTATCATTTTCATCATACTTTTAAACATAAAAATAATTGCTTTACTCTCTACTTTAAGCCCATGCTAGATAAAATGCATGCTGTGCTACGTGCTGTGTTGGCTAAATAAAACTTCATTCATTCAACTTCAGTGTTTCACTGTTTATAATGTTATAATCAAGATTGCATAATTATAAATTAACAAACGTTAATACATCCCTTTTGAAATCTTTGGAAGTATTGTTTAGGTTTTCCTAATTACAACAATTTAATTTTTCGTTAAGTTTACATCCAAGCACCTGTGGCTTTTAATTTACTGAAATGGTGAAAGCGTAGGTTATCTTTTTAATTTTAGGGTTTCAGAACCGTTAAATATAAGCCTTTTAATTTCATGTGGTTTACTGATATCGTTCTTTTCAAATGCTCTTGATCATGTGGCTCAATTGAATAATAATATGTTGATACCAATGGAATGATAATAGGTGGTTAATTTTCCCACTACACAAGCACCTGAACATTGAATTACAATTATCATGGCCAGTTAGGTTTGTGCATTCCTATTGATAAACAAAATATTGTTTATTCAAACATTTTGGAAAATTTCAGACCTATTTTGAAAGCAGATGAAACATATCAGAAGCATTTTGCTGTTTCCAAATTGTTTACCCTAAAGAACCCAAACCTATTGAACATATTTAAAACAGGCCAGTGTCATTGCTCAATCTGATGTTTGATGAAACGATTAAAGCATCCGTTATCTTGACTAAGAGATTCTCTGTATCTAAAAGAAAGGAAACAATCACCAACGTGTTCGGGTTCATTTTACAGCTTTATGCTCTCAATAATTATATCGTGACTATGGAAAACATTTCGAGTGTCGAAAACGAAACAAAAGTGATTCATATGGTTGAGAAACATTACCCGGAATACAGCTTGAATTCAAAAATACTATTGCTGTGTGGAGCTCTCGTTGTCACTTTGAATTTATATTTGATTGCAAGAATAAAACAGCAGACCAGACAAAAGCAGTCTGTCTCAAAGTTCTTGCTAGGGAATCAAGCACTTTCTGATGTGTTGGTTGGCTTGGTGTTCATTCCGGCATTTATCATCGACACTTATGTACAAATTAGTGTCATCAACTTTGTAAGCTGTTTTGTATTTTTCAACAGCCTCTTCTCAAGATGTATTCTGGCTTACGATCGATACCTATCCATTAATAGGCCATTTCAGTACCAGCATTTAATGACCATTCGACCAGTAAAGCGAATTCTGTTGATATTTCTTGGGACCTCATCTCTCCTAGCAATCCTTCCATTATTTTGGATTGACACTTCAAGGAGAGTTAAACATGAAATGAACAGATATTTTGCTGCTTTTTTGTGGCTGGTAATATCTTTGATGCTGCTCTTCCTTCTGATTGCATACCTGACAACGTTCTGCAAGACAAAACAGTTTATTCGGTCAAAACTCTCGATGCTAAAGAAGCGTCCGGCTCTGCTTTTGAATCATTCAGAAGTGATGTGTGACAATTATGCAAGGAAAGAAAGAAGACTCGCTGTGCAGTTCGCAGTGCTTGCCTTATGCTTTGCTCTTACATATCTGCCAATACTGTACATCAATTTGATGGGACCGATTCTCCAAAAGTACGAGGCTGTGTCCGAGACACTCTTACGTACGTCACTCTACACATTTGTTGGAAATGCTGTTTTTACTCCTGTTCTTGCTTTGATGTTTAATACAGATGGCAAAAAAGCTGTCTTTTGTTGCAAATGAGACTGCACAATTGAATGCCATTCCAGTAGCGGTTTTCATGTGTTCTGAATGACGTAGTGGACTCTTAGTGTATGTACTCATCCCATGTAGATAACCTGTATGCGTATTTTATGCCAATGTCTCGCTGCAAGAAAGATTTTTTAGGACACGATTTAGGAAAAAAATCAGTTGAAACTCAATCAAAAATCAATTATCTTAACTTGCAAAGCTGTAATTCGAGAATTCACTTTGATAAAAAATTTATGGAAAAGATTGAGACCACAAAGGAACGTAAGAAATAGGAGTTTTTGAAAGGAATATCTTAGAATATTGAACGCTGGAGCTAACTTCACTTGAGGATAAACAGTTCTTCTTGAGGAAAATTTCTAACAAATGTTGAGGTAGCACAGCTTGGTCACGGAAAAAGGAGGAGAAAAAGTTGTAGAAAGGAGTCACGCCCTTAAAAAAGCCCCCCATAGCGCATGTATTGTACTTTGTAAAGTCCGTCAATAAATTCGCACTCTTTGCTTTTCAACATTTTCAACATTCAACACTTTTTTATTATAAGAATATAGTTTATAAGAATATTGATGCTCAAAACCAATGAAATTTTTCAGAATAATTCAAGAGTAATGCAAGGCTATTTGAGTTTTTTCTTGGAAAGCAAAACAAATGTGAGTTTCAAGCCATATATATTTTGAAGTCAGCATATAATAAAAACTATCTGACCTTAGAATTACTAACATTTTGATTCGACTCAGTGACATCTTGTGCCGCTTAAAATTAATTCAAGAATAATCTTAGGCTCAAAATAAAAGAATTCAAGAATATTATGGCTCAGCAAAAGATTAAGTATTCTAATAGAAAAAGTGTGTTGAATATATAAAATTCCTGTTGACTGTTTTCAATGACCGTATATTTGTAACGATTAACGAATTTTTCTTAATTATTATCGATGAATCAATATGCTATACAATGTTGCATTTAATCATGTTAAATCACAAATTTGAATTCACTAATGTATATAATTTCAATCCTCATCCTGAAGTTTTATTAGCAAAATAATCCATAGAAGAAAAGGGGTAATTGCTGACAATTTACTACCACTATAGCAAACAACCTTACTCAAACGGTATTTCTTTAATCTATATGTCTGATCTGCACATAAAGAAACTAATTTTATCATACAACAGTACACAAAACACAACAAAACCATCTCTTGGCGGGAGATGCCCTTGAACTTCCGTTTAGCCCTCGGCCTCGTATACATTTTTCGAGTCCTTTATTCTTATTGGCTTAAGTGTTGCCATGGTTTTTGTGACGCTTTTTTGTTTGGATCCTGACAATGTGGTTAGATTCCAATGCAAGAGCTGTAAACTGGCCGACCACGTAAGTTTGGGAATTCGATGGATATCAGAAGATTATAAGACGAAAAATATGGCCTATTCTGAGCAAGACAGATCAAAGACACGTAAGTCTTGATAAAGCTTATTCATGTTTTGACTAAGTTGAATTAAAACGGCCTTGTATCATGTCCGCATTGGTTTGATAAATCCGCCTGGGCCTTGCGGTGCTTCAGACCTTTGACGTTTTCATCTCTTGGCGCTTATACTAATAAAATCATTCTATAACGCAACCTAATCTTTGACATCCTGCATTCTTAAAAGTTGTCATTCGCGTCTCCATAAGGCCTAACACCAGGATTTATAAAAATAAAACGCCATAAAATAGAAGTTCCTCAAGGCGTGCCAAGCTGTTGTCATCATCTGTACAAGAGATTAGCTAATCAGTTTGAAACATCACAATTCTTTTCAATCTCAAGCCTTACTTATAGATGTTTCGTGAGAATTCTGATTTCCTAAGTAACAGATTGTGTTTTCTTTCACAGGTTATTTTATCCCTATTGAAATCGCGTGTATTGTCTCTTGTAAAAATATTCTTTTCAGATTGTGTGTAAATTGCACAAGTTTCAAGAAAAGTAGAGCTTTATATTATTTTAGCTTTTCTATAAACCATTAGAAAAAGTCTATTTTCTCTTTTCTGGGTGGGGTAGTCACACGTTATTGCTGCTATCGTCCCTTAAAAGTTATGATAGATCACAGTAAGTGTCTACCTTTTTCCGTTCCATGAATTTTAGTGAAAGAAGGTGTGACAATTATCAGATAGCCACCAAGCTAACAACCTTGCTTATGACAATGAATTCACACGTTTTCATCACTTATGTGAACAAAATAGAACAATTTAGAAGGTGTTATTACACCTATTGTCATTAGAGACTTTCAACATGGTCAACCTGTTGCCATAGAGTGCAAGGAACAAACAGGAATTTCTATATTTTCAAGGTCAATCCTTTATACTGCTCATTGAAAATACTGCTGAAGGATGTATTTTTTCTAAATCTTTAAAAGCCAACTGCCATAAAATTTTTTTCTGGAGTTTTTAAAATTATTGTTGTTCTCTGAAGACTATATGGAAACTTTTTAGTCAAGACTTTTCTTATTTTCAAATTAAGCTGTTGATGTAAAGTTAATTGATTATACTGTGTTGGTTGATTTTGAATGTTATTTAGCAATAAAAGCTGCATATAAATGAGCTAAACTTTTTTAACCATGAAAAATCCTCATGATTCTTTTAACCCCAATATATGTGATGTTTTATAACAACAAAAGTTAACAATAAATAGAATTATCATATTTCGCAAAATGTTTATAATTTTTAATAAAAAACTTGAATTTACAGAGTCACCCACACCAAATATTTAAAGCAGAGATTTGGTCCTTTTAGGCATTTATGTGTGAGACATGCCAAATAAGACAATATAGTTTGAATCCCTTCAAGAAATAGAATTAGTTTTCAAATTTTTAATAGTTTTCAAATCATTTATAGAAACTTTCTTTGATCTACACACACCCTGGAATTGTTAAGGGTCCACAACACCAAATGCAAGTATCATAATTTTGCACTTAACTGGGAAACATATATGTGGATTTGAATGTAAACATCACCACATCACCCCCACTGCTGTTGGATCAGAGCTCTACTCTGGACCATTGATCTTTATTGCTTTTATTCAATGCTTTGAATAGAATTGTTCATATTCTTGCAGATGGGTCAAATAGCAAGCCTGATACTGCTCCAAGCAGCAGGTAAGAATTAACTTTTCTTTACTTGCAGAAGCTGTTTGTTACCTTGAAATGAAATATCTGAAAAAGCATGAAATACTTAAAAATATACTATGCTATAGAGCAGTGGCGGAAATTGCAGGGTTGTGGGAGGGGGCAACCGCCCCCAGGTTTTGCTAAATTGTCGGTTTTGTTGGTAAAATTATGTCATTTGTCGGCAAAATTGCTAGTTTTTGTGGGCATTGTCCCCCCCACTTGACAAATGAATTTCCGCCACTGCTGTAGAGAAGACTTTTAGAAAAATTGTAAACATGTCCATGGAAAGAGTCACCATCGTCATCACAAAATCCTTTCCCAATTGACCCTCACAGTCATTATTAAAATCATCATTATTAAAAACATAATTATAATGAGCAGTAACACAACAAGGAATGTGATGCTAAGTTAGAAACAAGGAGGCCTTGACCAAATTAGAGAAATAATAGTGAAATAAAAAAGGGGTACTTCTTAGCATGTACAAAGGGGGCTCTACCTCCTAAGCCCCTAGCTCTACACTCCTGAGCATAACAGTTATCATCCATTATCCATTCCTCATCATGATATTGCCATGTGACTATCAGCAGCAGTATTGCCCTTTATCATCCTCACGTAGATTTATTAGTATTTAAAAGTGAGGGTAAATGAAGGCTAAATGGGGTACCACTGTAACTAGGTAAGCTACAAATAGGAACTTTCCCTCCAGTTCGTAAATGTTGGAGAGGATTTGCACTTCCTGAACCTCCGTATTCCATTGTCTATGCATTATCAAAATCATATTGATGTGTGGGCAGTAATTTTAAGTCTTGAATGAGCTATGAACAATTTGTTTATTATTAGATTTCTGAACAATTGAGTGGCCCTGTCTTTAGTAGCTGATACTCTAGATTTTCCCAACACCAAATCAGTGTTCAAGGTTTCTTACGATTTCCTGGTTGTCCCATGTCAACAATTATATTACAATAAACTGTTATGGGGCACTGCTTGTCTCCATTCATTATTCTGCTGTGACACAGTTTTGATTGCATGTTTATTATACAGCTGTCCTTTTGACGCTTGATTTATCGCTCTGGTTTCAAAAATTTCTTTGAATTGGTTACTCCATGTGGTTGAAATTCTTATCTGTACTAAATTCGAATGAAACTTTGATGAGAAAAAGGAGCCATCGATTTATTTGGTTTTCCTGCCAGTAATAGTTTTCTTTGTTGTTATAGAAGCCGCAGTCGAGCAGACTCGCTTGCAAAACCAAAGATGTCAAAAGCTGAATGGTTAACAAGCTATGGGTAGGTTCATTAAATATTCATAATTTGATTTCAATTTCATAGAAAAGGCTTTCCGCTGTTCTGTTCGTTACACTCTATATTTTATACGAAACATTCGAGAGAAATGTATTTTAAAAAAGGGAAGAGGACGTCAAATGTCAATTCATCAAGGGGAGGGGCATAGCTAGCGGGGGTTTAACACCTCCCCCCATTCTTCACGAATTCGTCGGTAAATCTTTAGTCTGTCTAAAAAAACTTTAGTGCATCGGTAAAATCGTCTATCAGTAGGTGAAATAGCACCTAAATTCTTCTCCATCTATGTCTCTCAACCCGCCTAGTCTGGAAGGTCAAGCGACGCCACTGATCAGGGGTAGAGCTGGTCGCGTGGAGTGGTTTGATAAGCTTGTTTAATCTTAGTACTGATAACTGCTTGGCTAAATACTAAAGTCTCTCAATGTACTAAATGAATCTTCGCATTCAAACCTATTCTATAGATCTCCCCTATTGTTTCAACCCCTCTAAAATAAACTGTAGAAATTACAAGGCTTACCCCCATCTAATTGCTCATATGATTTCTTTATCATCTTCTTGCAACCAACTGAACAACTAAAACTAGCGTTAGAATATTTTTATTGTCATTTTGAAGTAAGTGTAAGTCCTCCTTGAGTTTATTGATCTTCCCTGTTTCAGGTGTACTGCCATCTGACTATATCGAACAAGCTTTGAAATCTTGCAAAAACGATTTGTCTAGACAAAAATAATGGTTTTCCTTTTGAGAATGCAGCACATTTTCTGAATTGTTCTGTCGGTAGGGGTTCATAGTTTCAAAGTGCCTATATGTGATTATAGTTTTTGCATTCGAAACTACTTCAACTTGTGCAGAAAAGGCAGTCATCCTTTTTCTGATATTTCAGGCAAAAGATAGTATGGGGGAATCAGGAGCCGATGTGGCCACTAAACCAAGCTGCTTTGAAAGCAAACGCGAGTGAGAGAATAGAAATGCTAGCAAAAAGCAAACAGAATCTGCAGGAAAATAATCCAGAAAAATGTAGTCGGTAAGTTGCACGTATCTGGAGAATCTCCTCAGGGAAGACTCTAAATTGATTTTTCCATGTTTTGTATCCAATCGACGCTAGGGAGGTAGAGCCATGGAAGATTTGTCTGTGGTTTAGTTTTTTACCAAAATTTTAAGGGCCTTCTACCTAGATCTTTTTAGCCATTTTTGTCTTTTTGCTGCACAGAACAGAGACTGAGATTTGTCCGTTCAATCAGTGGCGAAACAGAGCTTGGACCCTATTTGATTTGTAGGATCCCACTATACCGGGCTTTCAAAGGTCTTCACTACCGATTCAAGTTTTATGGCACTGCGACATTCTTTCTCGATTTATATTCCAATCTGTCACATTTTGTCTCAACACCAAGCTAAACATTTTCTTACAACTTCTTTCTGATGCACTCCACACGAAAGAGGTATCCGAGTTTCCGAGCTTCAGAATGACGTGGCATGCACTTAATTTTTGAAAGTGATAATGTCCTTTAAAATGTGTACGATTACTGTATGCATGACGTACAAGCTCAACTAATGTATCAACGTGTTTTGTGGGATGTTATTTATTACAATTGTATTGCGCAGAAAGATCGTACTACAGTCAGTTTCTTGTTTCCCAAAATATTAAGACATTTTGAAGAAACTTCGAGCACTTAGTTCGATGGAAAATTAAGCAAATCTCACTACTGTATATATTCATAGTCGCTTTCATAGAAATGAGTGTAAACGAGGCATGGCTAATTCTTTCCCACAGACCTGAATTTCAGTACAGCTGCGGTCGATCTTCGGTGATATGGCAAGTCAGTCCAAATGCAATGAAAGGCAGTCCCTCAGAAAGAGTCGACATTCTGTCGAGACACAAAACTGTTCCCGCGGGATACCGAGATGACAGGTAACATACCGTTCGAAAATTGCATTGTTTTTTGGACCTTCAACCAATTAGCTTCGAAATTATCCATTATTTTCGTTTTCATTAACAAGAAACCGTCGCTGTTTGACAATTTTGGGCTATTCGACAAAATGTAACCCAATTTCCGGAAATCTACGCACTTTATAACGAGCAATGTAGTACCTCTTTGGATATGTAAAATGTACAAAAACTAATGAAATGCATTCACCAGGCACGTAAATAAGAGGGGGCGTAGGGGGCGTAACGCCCCCCCAAAGTTTGGAAAATCCAGTTACAGTTGGAAAACTTAACGGTTGACTTGGATTTTTTTTCTTAAGTCCAAACTTATGAATTTCATATTTTAAGACGTTTTTTTATTTCAAATGTAAAAATTCTAAACATCAAAATTCACAGGCTGAAGCTGACCCATCCACTAATCGTTTTCTATTGTGAATCCCGTTTCCACTGGATCCAAATTGCACAATTGCCTCGTTTGCTTTCTTTTTGACGGGAGTTGAATCAATTTACGAACAGGCAAGGTGAATTTCCGGATAAGAAACTTGAAACTTTACAGTTTGGAATAATAATACCTGCATTGATCAGAAAATATTAGAGTGGGAGAAGAAATTACGAGTAGTTAATTCAATAAAAGATTAAGAATCTTTCAGTACTAAAAATTCTCAACGCTTCTTATAAAAAACGAGTTTATGCCAAACTCCCCCTGTTATTTGTGAACGTCCTTGCCTCATTATCATAAATTCCTATGACAAAACTGCTGTGAAGCAAGAACATATTGCAAAATTGCAGTAGAAGTATTTGATCAAAGAAGAGTGTTTCATCTTTCGAATCAGGCATATGCACAAGTTTGCTCTCAAATCATCATTTCAATTGTAAAGAACGAAAAGGCATTTGGTCCTCTGAAAAGTGTTAGTAATTTTCTTCGATCACGAACAAAAATAAAAGGCTCGAATTCTGGGTGCTTCTATATCTGGGTGCTTCTATATTTAGATAAAATTGATCAATTGATCTGAAAGAATACTACTAATCATTAAGAATATCTAAGACTGGTTTTGCTTGAATGTTGCTTTACTTCTTACAGTAAGTTTAAATTTTTGTTTCATGGTAATCAAAATTTAGAGATTTAGGCTTTTTTGCTTTAGGCTAATTGTTGAGTAAGGTTTTGGTAATTGTAAAGAAAATAGAACTATGGTGTTCGGGCTATTTACAAAGATCAATTTGGGTGGTACAGTAGATTTACTGGTCGCATGAAAAATTTCTCACTTAAAGTTGGAATTTTCATCCTTCCACGCCCCTCCAAAATTAGCAACTTATTTTCGTCCCTGGCATTCACTGGTTTCCAAACACTTGTGCTCATTCACTGAATATCTTGTCCAGATCGGGATTCTATACATTTTGAAAAAACCGTTGCCTTGAAAAAAAAGACATTTACTGTTTTTTACAACAGATCTGATCATTGAAATAAAATGCGAATTAATTTTTCTTAGTATTTCTTAGTATCTCCAATGAAGTTACGTTTACCCTGAACCAGAAGCGCCCCATTTTCCCTAAATCAAAGTTAGTTTTCCTGTTCCATAATCTGCCAATGGATTATAGAATGTTTCACTGGCAAATAGGAGGCTTGTTTTGACATTTCTGGACAAATTTCATGTTTTCTCGAAGTAGTGCCACTATTTCAATCCAAGAGTCTGCAATTCCCAAGAAGGTATAAAAAACTCGTAAACGGAGTGCCGGATAACGTGATTTTAGTATTTCTTTGGTTTTAAATTTCAACTTTGATTTTTCTTATACGTAGAGTTCATAAAAATCAAACCTCATTCTGTTTATTAGGGCCAATTACACACTGGGTTGTGGAAGATCCTCTCCAATATGGGAAGTAAGCGACAAGGCGAAAAACGCCGCGGAGAGGGTAGAGGTTTCTCGTTTGGCCGAGCCCAAGAAGACACATCCTAGCTACATTCCGTGCAGAGATGTTCAGTGGCCGGTTTCTGCAAACGCCCGTCGTGGTGACGCAAGCGCGCGGACGGAAATTTTAGCTCGTCCGAAGGACAGAAGAGAGGGCCATATACGAGACCCTATATGGTTAGTTAGGAAATCAACCTTAACTGCTGCTGCTAGTGGGAGAATCCAGGAATTGTCCAAACCGAAACAACTACCCGATGGTTTTGTACCGAATCGGGACGTTGAATGGAAAATCCCGCGCACCGCTCTTAAAACTTTTACAACAGAGCGCATGAAATTATTATCACAACCTATTGTCAGAGACGCTATGGATCATGTTCAGTTCAATCCGGATGCTTTTAAGGTTCGAGATTCGGCAAAACGGGCAAAAATTTCATCAAGAGTTAATGAACTTTCCCAACCAGTACAGCGAAGTACTCGACTGAAAGCTTCGTAAGTTAGTAAAAACGAGATATAGTTAGATATTAGTATAGATTTCCTGGAAAGTATAGCACAAATGCCAAGCCAATATTGGCGAAATAAATTTTGATTAGCAAATTTATATTTATAAATAACAAATATTTTAACCATTTTAACGCATACATATCTACTTGAATTTCACATTTTTTGCCATTGTAAATAACCCTGTAAGACGTTACTTTTTGCTAATATTGAATGAAAAAATGAAATTCTGTCTTTATTTGTTGTTTAACTCCCCAAACATTTGATAAGGAGCCAAAGTCATTAGGTTCTAAATGCAGCCAGCCTCTCTTTATATTCTACCATCTTTTTTTTGTTAATTCTCTAAGCTGTACATGAATAAAAGAGGGATACTTACAGCAGAAATGTAGAGTTCTACAGTTTTCATTGTTGTTAAGATGCCGACAGTGATAAAAGATATCACGTTTCAATACCCCTCTCAACTGAAACACCCTCAGTGGAGGCTCCAGTCTGTAGAAAATTATAGGCCTAGGGTAATGTGAGTAGCCCATCAAGTTTTTTAGATAATGCCAATCTGCATTATTAAAGGAAAAAGTTTTGCTGCCATGCTTTAAAAATAAGTTAGTGTTCCCAACATATTCCTCTGCAATTGGACTGGGTAACTTACAGACTGCTCACAAAGTAGCCAATTAGCTTACTAAGTGGTGGAAATTTCTCATTTTTCATAGCAAGGGGGCAATAATTTCAACTCAATCCACACAAATGTTTCACTTTAAATAAGTAGCAATATCCTGCCAGAATATAGAACACAATCTTGACACAAGTGGAGGACTATCCATGCTTATTTTCCACTTTCCATTTTCCACCTTTTCAGCTTCAGAAGTATTGGCTTACTGTTTAGGTAAGGGTGTCTGCAGTTTCAGCAAGATAACAATATTTACCTGGCCAAGCCTAATAACATCTTGTATAAAGAAGATAAACTAAAAGGCTATTTCAAATTTTCAAAAAATAACAGTTTAATTTACAACATTTTATCTGTGTGGAACGTTATTCACAACAAATGTGAAATAGTTTAAACTCTTTCATTCTTCCTTCCACATGGTTAACAATTAATAATGTTCCTATACTGACATATTTTGCTAATGGAAATATAAAGAAACAGTAACTCACATTATATTGCAATGTTCAGATCTTTTGTTGAAACCAGCAAATGTTTTGATTTTTTGAGGTAATGATCATTTCAAAATGTATAAAAATTCTAAAATGAACAAGACTAGTCAGCATAGGAAAACCTTTGCTATTTTGCAATGAATATTTTGTCTAATAGGATAAGGCCACCCTGTGGTACTTTGTTTTTTGTTGGGACATCACTTTTTAACACATCTCTATGCCCCTGCTTATAGTTATAGCTGGGTAAAAGTTAGTCAAAATTAAAAGAAGTGTTGTATAGTAATGTATTGTCTGGACTTGACAATATGAATGGAGGTGAAAAGGGAGTTGGTTGAGTTGGGCAACCATTGTTAAAAAAAATGTCAGAAAAATAAGCTAAAAAAGGTTATTACTGAGAAAAATAATATACCATTACTAAATACAAATCTCACAATTCTAGCAATGGATTTAAAGCAAAATTAAAATAATTGGCTGAAACTGATTAGAAAAAATCATTGAAATATTAAAGGTTAATTAATAAAATGTTTAGAATAAGACATCAACCAGTGAAGGCTCAATGATTCTCTGAACTGCATGTTAGTATCTACCTTGTCAAAAAGGTTTTCAAAAATTAAATGAATCAAGTCCGCTATGTGGAATTAGTAACTGTCCAAATCTTTGACAGCATCATAATCAACATATCTTTGGTAGATTTGCTCCTCTTCTTCAAAATCTCTTCTTCCAAGATACATCATTCTTGCATCATGTGCACTGAGCAAAACGCCAGCATAAGAAAAAAAGCATCCAAGACACAAAATTGCAAAAACCCAACAAGCATTGGACTTGTCCTTACAGTTTCTCCACAGATGACCAGTATCTTTGCACTGGGAATTAGAACTGTCATGTACCCCTACATATACAAGCAATGCTGCAGCAACAACAAAGGCAGCAAAATTTAGTGCAACTGAGAAATAACGCCCAATACATCGAAAGAACAAGCTTCTTTGGGCAACCAGGGCCAGCTCGGGAAACAGACATTTTAAAAATGAGCTTGTGAAAAAGATCAATATTGTCAGGTGGAGGCAAATGGTCGAGGCAAACAGCAAGTTAAACATGCATGAGCCCCTTGAATCAAATTTCCAGTTCCAGCATATTTCATAATTTAAGTGATTTGATGAGTTAACTGTATGATTTGCAGTTTCTTTGCACAAGTATCTATGATTTGGACTTTCTTTTCCGATAGTTATTAGAACAACGTTGAACAATCCATCTGCCAAAATCATGGACAGACCCAAAAACAAGCGCAGCAGCCCTGGATGCATCTTAGATCAGAATCAACTCAGATTCAAGACAAAAATTATGTTTCACTCTTGTCTAAAATCAACATACAGTGCAATTTCCTGGATTTCCCCGTAGCAACAAATATTCTCTGGTCATTTGTCGGTTCAGCAGACTCACCTTGTTCCGCGTTGTGGCAAACATAATATCAAAACTCCTGGAAAGGCATAATAATCCAAAATTCAATACACAATCCTTTCTAAATAGGGTTGTAATTTCGCTCCAGAATTCCAAGAAAATTTTTATTTGGTAATTGTAATCCACCCACCAGAAAAGTAAAATAGCCACTGCATTCCTAGTCATGTGATAACAGCTTTTCGTTTCCATCGTTATTGAATTGAATAAGTCTACTTCCAGTCGAGACTGAAAATGGCGGATGAAATGCATCATGTTATTGACGAATCGAAAGAAGAAGAAAGTCAGTGTTCTGGTCAATTATGTGACGATTCAAAAGCAGGATATGAATGTAATTATTGACTTGCATTTATTGGTGTTTTAATGATAACATCATTGATAAAGTGTATAAGAAACAAAAGAAAACAGACATGACCGAGTCGAGTTAAATATGTTGTCACCACCGTAATAATATGCCTTATGTACACTTAAGCGACAAAAGTATTAGGACGATTAATAACAAAATGGCGGCTCCAAAGCTAGCATTCTAACATTGATTGAACAAATCTTGCTGTTTTGGCGGGATTCTAGAAAATGGCGTCAGCAAAAATGCGATTTCTAACACAGACCTGTCGTTCCGCTATTTAGCGTACGACATTCGATTAGACATTCAGTTAGACATTCGATTAGACATTCGGACTAAAATGGCTCGGTATAAGAAATCTGTGCTAGAAGGTTAAAAACAATGTTAATAACATTAAAGTATACCTTCGTAAGTGTATTATCGTATGCTTCGCTTTTGTTGTTACGTCTTGTAGAAGCTGAACTGAGCATCATAGTGTTGAATTTGGACTTAGGCCATGCGTTAGACATTCGCCGTCGGGAAAAAATTATTTTTACGCAATAACTTTCTCGTTCTTAGGAAGATTTTCCCGAATGCTTGCAACGTAACTTTTCCAATCCCAGTATACATGTTAACAGGGGATTCGGTAAAATTGTGATCTTCCTTGAAAAATTTATATTTCGTTTCCCATACTGAAGCCTTACAACTGGAAAACTGAATCCGTATTTACGCAATAACTTTGTCGTTTCTGTATGAACTTTACAGGAACTTTATAAAACATCTTTAATGAACATACCCTTGACGTTAACGGATGTTTCGGGAACTTTTTATGACTTTTGAGAAAAAAATTGTTTCATTTTCCATACTGAAGCCTTATAAAGTGGTCAGTTTGGGGGACGTTTACGCAATAACTTTTGTAAATCTGATTGGAATCGTCTAAAACTTCACAAAACGTCTTCATTTAACCCAAAGTTGTTGTTAACTGGGGTCTCAGCAAATAACTTTACGTTTTGAGAAAAATAATTTTTCATTTTCCATACTGAAGCCTTATAAAGTGGTCAGTTTGGGGGACGTTTACGCAATAACTTTTGCAAATCTGATTTGAATCGTCTGAAACTTCACAAAACGTCTTCATTTAACCCAAAGTTGTTGTTAACGGGGGTCTCAGCAAATAATTTCACGTTTTGAGAAAAATAATTTTTCATTTTCCATACTGAAGCCTTATAAAGTGGTCAGTTTGGGGGACGTTTACGCAATAACTTTTGTAAATCTGATTGGAATCGTCTGAAACTTCACCAAAGGTCTTCATTTAACCCAAAGTTGTTGTTAACTGGGGTCTCAGCAAATAATTTCACGTTTTGAGAAAAATAATTTTTCATTTTCCATACTGAAGCCTTATAAAGTGGTCAGTTTGGGGACGTTTACGCAATAACTTTTGTAAATCTGATTGGAATCGTCTGAAACTTCACCAAAGGTCTTCATTTAACCCAAAGTTGTTGTTAACTGGGGTCTCAGCAAATAATTTCACGTTTTGAGAAAAATAATTTTTCATTTTCCATACTGAAGCCTTATAAAGTGGTCAGTTTGGGGGACGTTTACGCAATAACTTTTGTAAATCTGATTGGAATCGTCTGAAACTTCACCAAAGGTCTTCATTTAACCCAAAGTTGTTGTTAACTGGGGTCTCAGCAAATAATTTCACGTTTTGAGAAAAATAATTTTTCATTTTCCATACTGAAGCCTTATAAAGTGGTCAGTTTGGGGGACGTTTACGCAATAACTTTTGTAAATCTGATTGGAATCGTCTGAAACTTCACGAAA